TGATTTTGGGGTGAAATATGACATTGTGTCTGCGTGTGCGCGTGCGTGTGAGTGTGTGTGTGTGTGTGTGTGTGCGTGTGTTTGTGTGCGTGCGTGTGTGTGTCTATGTGTGTGCGTGCGCGTGCGTGTGTGTGTGTGTGCGTGCGTGAGTGTGTGTGTGTGTGTGTGTGTGTCTGTGTCTGCGTGAGCGCGTGTGTGTGTGTGTGTGTGTGAGAGTGTGTGTTTGTGTTTGTGTGTGTGTGTGTGTGTGTGTGTATGTATGTATGTGCCACATACCTGTAAGACTAAATGGGTTCCCTGAACAAGCAAGTGACAAAGAAATAGTTGCACATACACTTTCCATGCTTTCATATTCTTCGATCCTTCTCTCGCAGCCACAAATTGAATGCTGTTTTTATTTGTGAAAAAATTCTGCACTGTACATTAAATGCATTTCTGTTGTTAAATACCTGTTTATTATCAGCACAGAGTCTTTTCTTCATTACAGTTTTAATGAAATTAGAAAGGCTATAGTAGCAAGTAAATGCTCATCATAAACGCGGCATGTTGATGTTGGCCGGCGTCCTCATCATGGCACTGGAACATATTTTGGAGGTTTTTCTCGTGGGATGCTCTCGTAGTCTCGGCTGCAGGAAATCTCTCCGTCTCTCTGTCTAATCTCTGTCAGACGAGTTCAGCTGTCCGATGCTCTGCTCTGTGCTTGAGCTTGCGCTGTGAGTGATGAGTGGACGCAGAGGTCCAGGACTGAAGGTCTGATCACACTGAGTTTACCGGTGTGTGAAAGTGTGTGTTCACAGATGTGAATCATTTCAGAACCGCCAGACAGAGTTCAATCAATTGTGCTGCTCGTGTAATCAAACCTGTTTGTTTTGTTCAGACCCTTCAGCAATCTGAGAGAAAAAATGCTTTCTGCACACAGAAAGTCTATTTGTATAATCATTTTTGAGTCTCTCTTTCACTTTCTTTTTGTGTAGACAATAAAAACAGAAATATATATATATACTGCATATAATTTATTATAAACACATTATACATTATACACATATAATACATTTTTAAACATTTATATAATACACTAAAAATTGTTATTATTATTTTATAAAAAATACATTATATGTATGCAGTGTAATAAGTATATAACTATATTTATTAATCATATATAAACAATTTTTTATTATTAATACATTTTCTTTAATGCTTGTTATATATATATATGAACCTTTTTTAATAGTTGTGTTTGAGTCCCTCAGTTGTCCTCAGTCTGAAAAGATGGATCTCAGAATCATACAGTCACTGCTGGAAAGGGTTCAAATGTGCAAAAGATGCTGGAAAACTGAAGAATCTGCAGGACATGGAGGATTTTTCTGAGGAACAGTGCTGTTTAACTGTTCAGGACAAACAAGGGACTCATGAACAACCATCACAAAACAAAAAACAGTGGTAGATCATCCAGGTAACCACACACAGTATTAAGAACCAAGAGTTCCCAAACCTTTGAATGGGGTTATTTTAATAATTTCAGCTATTTTTTTGTCTTGTGGACTATATGTAAACATCTTTTATGTAAAATATCTTACTCAGGACAGTACTAAATAAAAAACAACATGCATTTTGTATGATCTCTCTTATTTTGTTAAAATTATTCATATTTTCACAGATTCGCAAGGGGTTCCCAAACTTTCGCATGTCACTGTGTATATATATATATATATCTCAACTGGGTGCTCAACTAAGAAACAAGTGGAAACATTTTTTACATTTTTTAAATGTAAAGTCGGCAACACCAAAGCTCCAAAAGGATCACAAATTTATTTTAAAAGAACTGTCGCAATTTTTGATACTTTTGGAGCTTTGGTATTGCCGACTTTACATTTACCATTTTTTTTCCAAAAAATAAATAAAAACATGTTAGAATGGAGCAGGAGTGAAAGTGTCCACATTAAACAATCGCACACGTCTGACGGCTCACATATGCCGCTGATTTACGTGCTGTTTATATTCTGTGTCAATGATCCTAAGCGCTTTTGAAAACGGTACTTGAGATCCTTCAAATCAATAAGCGTTTACCTCCAGATGATTCATTTATCTATTACACATAATGAGAGTATTTAAAAAGCAATGAAGTAAAGAGGCTCAGCACACAGTCCACTTCAGATCCAGCCTATTACTCAAACCATTACACACACACGCACACACACAAACACACACACACACACACACACACACTAACACGCACACACTAACACGCACACACTAACACACACACACACACACACACACAACAATAACTAAATGGTATTTCCAGACAGCACTTGCTTTTTGGTTATTAAGCTGTATTTTATTACCGCTGATGATAATTCTCTCTCTCCGTCTCTGTCTAGTGATTCAGAGAAATTATTGTGAAATGAAGGATTTTCTAAAAATGAAAGCTGCAAGTTAATGGCAGGCTGTAGTTAAAGTTCAGTTCAGCCAAAAAAGAAAATGCTGCCATTATTTACTGACCCAAGATATTCCAAGCCTGTATGACTTTCTTTCTTCTGCTGAACACAAGAGAAGATATTTTGAAGAATGTCGATCCCCATCCACTTCCATAGTATTTTTTTATTTTTTTCTATACTGTGGATCTCAGTGGTGACCAGTAGCTGTTTCGCTGCCCACATTCACCAATATCCTACCATTTCGTCTCTGTGATCTTCTGCTCTCTAGATGTGGCTCATGTCTGTGGGATTTTTTCACCTGTTTGTCTGGTCCAGCAGCTTGGATCACAAAAATAACAGCACAACAATCTCTTCAACAACACATGATTTGAAGAATTATAAACACACAGTTAACTTTAAGACTCTTTAAGAAAGCTAGAGGTTTTTATTGAGTAGCAGCACTAATTAAATCAACCGTTAACACGGTAAACACTGAATAGATGCGAACTGCTCAGCAGGGACGGCGGAGATGCTCACACTAATCTAAGCTCAATTAGTGTGCAGATAACATTATTTCCCATAATGCCGTGTGCACAGGGTTGCTCTCTGTATCTCTGTCTGAATTAAAGCTCATCTGCAGGATGTGTGTTCATCCTCACCCTTTCAGCCCCTCAACATCTTCACTCTCCTCCCTCCATTTAGCTGTGAAGGGTCAAATCAGACAAAAGATGTGGAATTGTTTTACCAGGTTTACTGTAGAGAGAAAAGGAGAAAGAACATGTGTGGTGCCGTTCTCAGGTGTGTTTCTTGTACAGAAAGCATTCACTCGATTTCACTTTTAAACTAACCATTAAATCTACCATATGAAAAAAAAGAGAAAGAAAACATATTCCATTATTTCATATCAACATCATGAAGTGCAGCTATCATCACGCTGGGTTTCCCGAACTGGTGTTAATTAAGAATTGCAGTGGGTTTATGAGTTGATAAAAAGCTAATAATGAATTTATTCATAAACATGTCAAATAAAAATAAATTATTTTAAAACAAAAACAAGTAAGAATTTTGGAAAGGAAACTTTAAAAGAGAGGGGAAAAGAAAAATTAATGAGAATCAATAAATTATGAATAATTTACTGCCATTTATGAATAATAGATAATCATGCAATCCATAAAAAGTAACTGTAATCTGATTATGAGCATTTTAAAATGCAATATAATCCAGTACTCAATTCTGATTATGTAATCCAGATTACATGTAATCAGTTACTACCCAGCAGTGGTTATGACTTTATTTGTGTGTGTGTGTGTGTGTGTGTGTGTGTGTGTGTGTGTGTGTGTGTGAAAATGAAAGCATGAACTCTACTTCACATGTTTCTCCTAAAAATTCAGAGAAGAAATAAGAATAGAAAAAAGGCTTCACACCCTCGTGGAAAACATGTAAATAAAAGGTATTTTTAAAAGCCTGGACAAGTAATAGCAGTTTTAAATGCCACTGAATTAGTTTGTCTGTTTCTAGTTCTCCAAGTACAAACATATTTCTAACGTGCTTCATTGTAGGACTGACGTGAACACACACAGACAGATCTGGGAGCCTCACATCCGGCAGAGAGATTGGAACAGAATGGAATTTGAAACGTTTTAGCCAAAAATGTTTCCATGGTAAAGGTGTTTTTTGCAGAAACGTTTCAGATTTCGTTACGTTCTCCGGCTTCGTAAAAACAGTCTAATGTTGTGTGGAAGGAGACGCTGGACGGAGCCGATCTCTTCCACCAAAACACATTATCAGTGATGTTTCCTGCACTTATATGTGTGTGTGTGTGTGTCTGTGTGTCAGCAGTTCTCTGATTGGTCGTTCTCTGTCTGTGTCAATAGTTCTCTCTGATTGGTCATTCTCTGTGTGTCAGTAGTTCTCTCTGATTGGTCGTTCTCTCTGTCTGTGTCAGTAGTTCTCTCTGATTGGTCATTCTCTGTGTGTGTCAGTAGTTCTCTCTGATTGGTCGTTTTC